CTATGAGCCTACTCCTCCAATACCTTGACGAAGTCATAACCGCAGAAGAAATGATCCTGATGTTCACGGAATCGAAGACGAAGCAGCCAATAAGGGACAATATCTCTTCTCGAAACAAACCAAGTCCCAAGGGCCCCATAAAAGGAGTGTGCATGTACTGTAAAGGTTTCCACCCTTCTCATGCTTGCATGAAGTACCCCACTCCACAGGAAAGATCTGCCTATCTGAGGCAACGCAATCTTTGCCTCATATGTGCATCTCCAACCCACAATACCGCGCATTGTAAAGGGCGAATGTGCTTCAGTTGCGGAGGGGCTCACCATACCTCCTGCTGCTTCAAATCCACCAACAAGGCGAACAATCCATCTAGGCCATCCAATACCCAAGAAACTGGAGGAGCAGTTCACAGGTCAACAACAGCTCCCCAAAAGGATACCGGTCGCGACAATAAGGCCAGGAAGAAGATAAAGACCCGTTCTAATGCCATAGCGACCGCGACCACGGGATCTCCTCCCTCAGACAGCGTATCTGTTGAAACCGCAGCTCTCCAGCACCAGTCCACTCCTTACAACCCTTCGTCGGTACATCCATGCTTACCCATAGGGGAACTAACCGTCGTTGATACAGAAACCAAGGCACTTCTGAAGGTCAGCGTTCTCCTAGATACTGGAGCGGAGCTTTCTTTCATTACTAAAGCCTTAGCGGAAAAGCTGCAGTTACCAGTCCTGGAGGAGAAAGAAGTTAAAGTGATAACCTTTGGATCTCAAGATGCGAAGAAGTTCCGATCCAACCGGGTGCAGTTGGACGTCTGGGATGCAGAAGGGACGCCTCATAGCTTAGTAACATGACGTCTTAACGCGTTCGCTGGAAGCCCCAAATCTTCCTGTCGAGGACGTCGAATACATTCGTTCTCTAAATCTACCAGTGGTGTGGCGATCGGATAGAGAGAAAATCACGCCCTCCATTTTATTGGGATGTGATCAAGGCTGTGGTGGGGCTTCGTCAGAACAGCGAACCTGTCAATAGCCTTACATCTGCGAAAATGCACTATTTTCCGACGAAATGTTACAGCTGGTTCTCAGGAAAACCCAAAATTGAGAATAATTATGCCTTCCAGTTTCTCAGCCGCTTCCAGATGACGAAGATCGATGGGAAGGGCTTTGGTCTATGGACACAATACAACAATATGTGGTTAACTCCTCAGAGAGTGGCATACCCCATGAAGAAAAGGATGAATGGGATCGATTCTGGACTCTAGATGGGGCAGGCACTGAAGAGTTCACTGGTACAGAAAAGGAAGCCCGTGCCGCACAGGACAAGCAAGTTTGGCAAAAATTCAATAGCACGATACAACGCCGAGAAGACGGGTACTATGTGCGTCTACCTTGGAGAGACCAATATCCCTATTTGCCGGACAATAAAGCGTTGGCCTACAAACGTCTCGTCAATGTATGGGCATCAATAAGCAAGGATGAAACTCTTCTTGACCAGTACAATGAAGTTTTCCAAGATCAACTCCGACAGGGAATCATCGAACCTGCTACGGACACAGAGGAGTTCCAGCAAGGGTCACAGGTTCACTACATCCCCCATCAACCTGTGATCACCCCCCATAAATCGACGACAAGGTTGCGTGTCGTATTTGATGCCTCAGCGCATTATAAGGATTGTCCATCTTTGAACGACGCACTATACAGAGGACCGGTCATACTTCCGCTCATCAGTGGTATTTTGCTTCGCTTCGGGATCGGAAGAACGGCCATCATCTCTGATATCGAGAAGGCTTTCCTTCAGGTACGCCTGCAAGAGCAAGATAGGGACGCAACAAGGTGCTTTTGGTTACGTGATCACAAAGCAGCTCCATCTATGAGTAACACAATAACGTTCCGCTTCACAAGAGTGACGTTCGGCATAAAATCTTCCCCCTTCTTGTTAGCGGGAACAATTAACTATCATCTCCATCAATATCAGAATGAAGGTGACTTGGTTCGGGACATCAGAAAGAACATGTATGTGGACAATGTATTGCTGACAACGGATACGTTGGGAGATGCAATATATGCCTACCGACGGATGAAAGAGATCTTCCACGACCTGAACATGAATCTGCGCGAATTCTCATCCAACAATCAACGTTTGATGGATGGAATAGAGGACATCGACAAAACTAAGGAGACCAATCCAAAGGTTCTGGGACTCTCCTGGGATGTGAAGGACGACACGATTCTAGCATCATGCCACATTCCGGATACTCCATTGCTGACCAAAAGGACTGTCACAGGTGCAATAGCGTCCGTCTACGATCCGTTGGGCTGGGTCCTTCCCCTTCTTCATCGATGCAAAGTTTTCCTGCAAGAATTGTGGAAGAACCAGTACACCTGGGATCAAGTGCTCCCCACGGATAAGGAACAGGAATGGGCTAGTATCCGGGCCAATATAGTAAAGGGTTGTGCAAGGTTTCACCAAGAAAATCCCGAGATGTCGCGCGCATCAAAAAACACTGAAGCCTTCCTAGTTGCCTTTGCAGATGCCAGTTCGTCAACTATGGCAGCGTGTGTTTACCTATGTCAGCACAATAAATCGTCGCGCTCATCATGGCCAATCCAAACTTCACATCTTCTTCATGGGGCAGCTACAATTCCAAAGCTGAACTCAATGCCCTGCAAACTCTGTCCATGAGACTATCCCACCATGTCTTTACAGAGCTGAAGGAAACGCTTAGTATTCAGGGAATTTACTTATTCTCTGACTCTGAGATAGTGTTGAGCTGGCTGAAGCGGAAACCAGAACGTGAAGTGGGTCCTTTCGTTTACAGGCGCGTAAAGGAAATGCAAGACATTGCGCGTTATCTCACTGAGCAGCAATGTCCAGTCAAGATTGGATACGTCCCATCACAAGACAATCCTGCTGATAGCGCTACTCGAGGACTATCGAAAGAAGAGCTGCAAGACCATCCCTGGTGGGTCGGCCCTACGTTTCTGCAATACCCACCCCACCAATGGCCGGGTCAAGATAAGCTCTTCGTTTACCCCATTCAAGAACCAGAAGAAGGTCCTCTCACCCAACCCGTGGAACCCAATAAAATTCTCGTGATGAAAGTCCAACGGAAGGATAACCTTGAACTTCTCAGTCCGGCTCAGACGCGAACATTTACACAAGCTAAGCGCATTATAGCATACGTCCTTCGCTTCATATGCAGTATGGCCAAGCGCAGTAAAACGAGCAGCTTCACGAGTCATGCTCTCGTCACAGCAGTGAACCAGTACCGACCAGAACAACCGAGCTGTTTATCTGCCCTGGAGATCCGAACGGCGGGGCTAGCGCTCATCCGTCATCATCAGGGTGTGTATATCACTCAAGAAGTAATCGCTTCTCTGCGGCAGCTCAATATTCTTCAAGACGACCAAGGTATCTTCCGCTGCTACGCGACGTCTTATGCGAAAAGCGCAGCTGACTACGAATACCAAGAATCCCGTCCTCATACTCCAAAAAACTTTTCTAGCAGGAAATCATAATACGGGATGCTCACCAGCACGGTCACCTAGATATCACACAATGGCTATGGTTAAGTCAAATGTTTGGATACACAATTGCGTCACAAGTTTGCGCAGTCATACGGAAGTGCTTCCAATGTCAAAAGTTCAATAACCTACCCTACAGTTACCCTGCTCAAGAGGATTTACCCAAAGAACGAGTTGTTCGCTCGTACCCTTTCCAGCATGTTGGCATAGACTACTTCGGACCCCTCTCAAGCCTATCAGCCGCAGGGGACCCGGGGAAATGTTACGGTGCAATAATTACCTGCGCTACAACCCGGCTAATTCACCTAGATGTTGTCTCTGATATGAGCACGCTAGCTTTCCTCAATATGCTCCGACGTTTCTTCGCACGCAGAGGAATACCTCAGTCAATCAATAGTGACAATGCTCCAACATTCGAACTAGGAGAAACCATTTTGAAAGATTGTCTGCATGCGGCTCAGAATGATCCACTCGTCCAGCGAGATCTTAGCAATAAGGAGATTGAGTGGAGGTACAACACACCATTTGCCCCATGGCAAGCGACGGTCTACGAACGACGATCAAAGCGTGAAGCAGTAGTTCCCTCCCTTCAAAACCATAGGAAGTCGTCCGCTCTGTGCCTCGAAGAACTTACGACATATCTTAGTCGAAAATTGCAGTGCAATTGTCAATACGCGCCCACTCACGTATGTAGTAGGCGAACCCCACAGAGACTCAATATTGAGACCAATAGACTTCCTTCAGAAGGATATCCTCATCTACTATCCTTTTGTGCGAAGAACGGACGATGACGATGACCCGCAATACTTGCCATCGACTGAACAGGTCGCGATTCAGACGAAGCAGCAAGCGGAGAAGGCGTTGCAGTCGTCCTGCCAATTTACGGAGAAGTTTTGGAAAGCATGGCAGAAAGAATATCTCACGGCTCTGAGAGAGAAACACACTCTCTCAAGTTGGCAGCGATAACGCGGCGGGCTCACAATATCCAAAAGAGGGGACAGTAGTGTTGATAAACGATCCCGTTCTACCCCGCCACTCTTGGAAAATGGGCAGAATTCATCAGGTTAAAGCAACATGCTCGAGGATCAATAGCGTTGGAAGTCGCTTGTACGGTTACCCTTTACCCAACGGCTAATTCGTCGACCAGTCAACCTTTTGACCCCTCTGGAACTCGAAGAAGAAGAGCTCACACAAGCCTCAGAACACCAGAAACCTTCCTTGACCGACGAAGGAAGTGAGCTAGAAAGACACACACCCATTGCTCTGAAGCGGCTTCAGAGTCAGAAAGGGTCACTCAGAGTTAGTGCCACGATACAATCTCAGGAAAAGGCGTCCTATCGATTATTCTGAAGTTTTGCACGGGGATGAAGGATCGGCAGGACAATCAAGTACCCTTCTCTTCACAATGGTTCTGCAAGTTCTAGCCTTCTGTGCGTCTTTAGTGAAGCAGCAGCAACAGATGACCGCAATGACTCTAAAATGATGCGACTAATAACGTGTACGGAAAATGGGGTACGACTGCACCTCCCAGAAGCATTCCCTTATGAAATTTGCGCCGAACAATACTGTGTCGAGTTTACTCACCCGAACGAAAATGAATCAATAACGTTCCCTTCTGAAGTCATACTCCATGAGCACAGGATCCAGTGGAAGCTTTCTCTGCCACATTCTATAGAGATCATTGAGAGCACTTGCCCACCAGCACCGTTTTGCCCATCAATAGACTGTACTTTTTTGCAGTGCCAATATCTTCAACCCCGAGTGTTGGCCCATCAGCGCAATATTGGCGACTGCCACAATTCTTTACTTCCTGGTAACGGGCTGCTACGTCTTCTTGTATGTACCCGTCACAGTTGGGAGACCACTGAGAGTTCTGGGCAGTATTACGTGGTCATTGTTCAGAGTTTTAGCGGGCCAGCTGAGGAAGTTACGACGAACTCGCAGAAGAGCGTCAGTCCAACGACGCCGATTAATAGAGATTTTGGCAATCGTAGCAGAGCATCAAGCTTCAGAAGGGACTGCCAAATGTCAATGTTCTTTCAGTCATTATTCAACGATAGCACTGACGACACCACCGCCCGCCCTGCAATCCAAACTATTGCCGAATCTTCAAGGTCAATGGTTCAACGAAAGCATGCGTTCGTCTGTTAGACAATACCACTCTACTCCATGAGATTAGGCTGAGATGGAAATCGCTAGAACTATTGTGTGAACCGGAGACGACTCTCTTCACACGCGACTCAATATACAACGTCATCGACAGTAAAAGATGTCCGCACGTTGGGTCATGTAAAGGAGACAAATGCGGCATAATCAATTCGTCCACCCTCATTCCGGAACTGGAGCAGGGTAACCGCTACCCAGGAAACACAGCATGCGTGGAATCATGTGGAGGACCGGGATGTGATTGCTTCTTCATCAGCTCCGGATGTCTCTTTTACAGAATCTACATGGTACCCATCGATGAAAAAGTCTACGAAATCTTTCACTGCAATAGATGGAGAGAAGCTGCCAATATAGAAATTACGCACTTCGACGGCATTAAGCGGGAGACATCGTCAACAATAACTGAGAAACTGATTCCCAATATCCCCAAGAAATGGAAGTCTCTCACTTTCACGCCTACTTCCCGTCATTCACCAATCTCGAAACGCTTCAAGCACTCCCTTTATATCCGACTCCACTCGGATATCACTATGGAAGGACAACACCTTGCCACCCCTGCAATGCTCCACAAATGACGATGCGACGAACTTGAACTGTTCTGTAGTGGAGGATTGTGCGTGCCTTCCAGCCGAAACGAAGATTAATTGTCAATGCAAGGACTTCCCAATAGGTCCGTGGTTCAATGACATCAAGAATCAGTTACCAGTGAATTTGCCTTCCATTTCCTTTTACCAGGATGAAAGGGCCAAAGTAAGGGCAGAAGTCATGAGTATGGTCACATCAGAGGTCATCATGAACTTCATGGGCTCAGTGAAAACAGAAGTCATCGTAGAGGAAGCGTTCTGCACAGCCGAAGCCACGGAGTTGAGAGGATGTTACAGCTGCCCCAAAGGGGCCTTCACTGATGTCACTTGCTATTCCTCGCGAAACAATATCCAAGCTGAGGTACTTTGCAATGACATAGGCTTCACAATACCATGCAATATCACAGGAGTCACCTCGGTAATACGATTTAGTCCAACTGAAGCCCGAACATTTTTTGATTGCTCGGTGTCCTGTGGGAAACGAGTGAACGCTTTCAAATAGGCGCGATATACAAGTTACGCGTCTTTCAAGGAATGGTCCAAAAAATGGATTGAAGGAGAGTCAATAACAAGTACTGAACTCGTGTTTCCAGACTTCATCCATATTGGTATGGTATTCCTTCAATGGTATAAGACGCTGATCGTGGCGGTAGCAGGACTTTTGATAGCCGTAGCTGTTACCTATTTGGTCATTACCACCTTTGGACCGAAGTTACTTGTGCAAGGGTTCCTATACATACCGAAACTGAGCTTCAGTCTTTTCTTTAGCCTCATGCGGATATTGCTCTTTAGCCTCATGCGGATATTATTCTCCTCCACTCATAATAAACAGCATTAGGCTATCAGCAAGAGACCCCTTAGCATCAATAATCAGTAGAATATTCAATAACTGTACAGTGGATAGCAATATCTACCAATATAGATTTCTTCAGCAATATCTAGCAAGACAGGTTTTCTTTTCACACAATATTGGAAAAAAAAAGGTCAGAAATCTTTTCAGATCGATCTCGGAATCATGCCGGAAGGAAGTGCGTATCTCGCCGATTTCACTTTCGTCTCCATGTTGTACCAGGAAGCGTCGGGGATCCTGTAGAGAGTTTGGAGCAGGATATGACCACATCACTCCAAGAGATAGAGCAACACATCAAAATGGCGGCAACATTGGACACCCAGCTCACACACCATTTGCTCTCCACAACAGGAGTGAAGATCGGTGGCGGAGAACTAATGATGTATGTAAGCCGAATGCTGAGAACCGCTACATATGCGAAGGAGAAGCTTCTCAGTTTCACTCAGCGCTTGCTGGTCCACTCAATATACAGAATGTCGGCGGATAGCGGCAAGGTCTCAGGGAAAAGACGATCTGAATGGGACGAGGACAAGAAGCATGATCCCAACCAAGTAGCCGCTAAAGTGGAATACCAAATAAGGATGCTTGACCGCTATATTTCCGATATCGAGGGGGAGATCAGTAGAGCCGAGAAAATGATCCTCGCAGAAAAGGTGCAGAATACCGTGAACTTTCTTCGATACATTGATATTGAATGGATAAGATGGAGAAGAGATTGCTCAGTGCCATTGCCAATATGACTAAAAAACAAGATCAGTCCCAGGCTGAATCAATAAGCCACGATAAAAAACGAGGTATCAGTGAAGACGAGCCAGGCCCAAGCGCCCGAAAAGTCCAGGTGATCTCTGACGATGAGTATTTGGCCAAATTGATCGAAGAAAACAGAGAAAGCCGAGGAAGCAGGGAAAGCGAAAATGATTCTGTGCAGGGTAAGGAAGCAGAACCACATCGACGAGAACGGGAGCCAAAACAAGAAGAAGACGAGCGGCAGAAGAAAGAAGAAGAGCAGAAGAAAGAAGAAGAGCAGAAGAAAAGAGAAGAGCAGAAGAAAGAAGAAGAGGAAAAGGAACGACGTAGACGCAAGCAAGAGGAAGAAGAACATTACCGAAGAGAGGAGCAAAAGGCGCGGCGAAGACGTGAAGAGCGACTGAGGCAAGAAAGGGAAAAGGAAGAAGAGCAATATCGTAGACGTCAACAAGAAGAGGAACAATATCGTAGACGTCAACAAGAAGAAGAACAATATCGTAGACGTCAACAAGAAGAAGAACAATATCGTAGACGTCAGCAGCAGGAAGAAGAACAATATAGACAGGAAGCAGAAAGAGAACGTCGTCAATACATCGAAACTCTAGAGCGAGAACTAGACGAACTGTACAAGGGACGGTTCCTGCTACCACAAACGAAAATCGGCGAAGCTAGCGGCGTGTGGACAGCGGGATCACATGCGTTTTCTGCAAACGTTATGGACAACATTATTCTGATTCTTGCCCCTCAATAACGGACGGCAACGAACGTTTCCAATACATTCGTCAGGAAAATCTCTGTCAATATTGCCTGGGAGACGATCACGATTACAATAACTGTAGGGCGGCTGGAAAGCAGTGCTGGTACTGTGACATTGTACGAAATACACCACTCAGTTTTCTGATCTGCGACGATGGCGGTCATCACCGGGCACTCTGCAATATCCCTGATTCAAGAGATCGGGTGTCGAGAAGGATCAAGGCAGTAAGGGACCGCCTACATGAAGTGAAATATCAATAAAGCCTGCCCGGAGTGTAGCTACACGCTACCTTTGTACATATGTATATGGTTGGTTAGAGTACTTCATTATTTATTTAACATGTTCTTAGTCAGTTAATCAATTTCCTCATGTTGATCATTCCAGAAGATGTTTTCAACTTCAGCTAGCGAACAAGGACTGTTTTTTCATGGGCCAGCTGCACCGAAGGCGACGGTCCTCACTGTATATAAGCAGCACTGGCTGACTCATGGCCCCTTCGCCCTTCCTCAATAACTCCGTCATCCTCACCAATCGGCTTTACGACTGTTCAATAGCCCGACTCTATATTCGTCAGTCAATAAGTACGTATTTACTGATTCGTCAGATTCGGCTTCAACATCCAATAAGTACTATACTTTCAGAAGGCCTTCATCGCTTCGTCTGCAATACTCGTCTCGGCTTGCAATAATTCACCACTACGGAAGAAGACGACACCCAGTTAGTAGATTGACTAGTTATTCAAATAAATATATATAGAATTATCTGTAATTTACTCAATTCAGCAATATCGCTGCACAATATCTCAATACCTCAATATTAGCAATACCGCGTGGCCAGTTTTGTACTGAAGGGCGAGCAGCACTCCACAATTAGATACTTATCGGACTTTTCTAATTGGGGTTTTGGTCAGATGACCTACTCAGATATTCCACCTTCCTCAGTTACTCAACGCCCTTCCATTCCAAGTAGGCAAGCGTTTTTCCAACGCCCTTTAATTCCATGTGGGTCACCAAATCCCTGTAGCCAGTAAAAGTTTCAAGAGGTATCGGGCGACGACATGTGGAGAGGATATTTCTCGCGAAATGCTCGATTAACGCCACATCACCTTTCAGTCCGGGCCACGATAGAAAATCGGTCTCCTCCATTCCAGGTACGGCGCGGTCCCCACATCAACTGGCGGCCTTGGCCGGCTGGGTTGAAAAATGATGCTCCTGTACCGTAGCGACGCTGCTCGATGATGGAGGCCTTCCAGATCGAGAGTACTGGTCTCCAGGTAGCTACCTATGGGTGATTGGCTCCCTACTAAAGTTTCGATAATGGTGGTAGAAATGTCCGATAAGAATTTAATAAAGTGTAACTTATAGCGCCTCGAAAGTCAAGGAAGAAAAAAGTTTTTTTGGCCCCCCTGTATACCGAATGGGTATGCTGCTTCTAAAAAACCTCCTTTCATCTAGAGAGGTCCGCGCCAGATATGGAAGCAGGGTTTATAATCATCGTCCAGCGAACATCTGACCGCGAACATCTCATTTCAAATGGCCGCTACGACCTCCTATCCTTCCCGAGCAAATGAGAGCCCTTTGCAGGTTTACCGAACACACTTGGAGACTTGACCGATGTGCGATGGGAACACATTATGAAAATGCGTCCCACTATATTGGAGCTTACCCACGCACGAAACCCACTGCCACAGCTGATTGAAGTGCTCAGACGTATTCCGGCGAGTGAGGTAGGATGCCTTGAACTAGGGTTTCCATTCATACGAAATCCTTTCCATTCAGGTAGATGAATTCTTTTCTCGGCTTAGAATACTTTTCTTGGACACGACAGACGTCGACGTTCAAGATTTGCTTTTCATCTTACAAAAGTAGGGATTTAGAATTCGAAAATCGTTGTGAGTGTTTTTGTCAGTCGCGTAATTCAGGCTTAACCTCCTGGCTGCGTTCTCACTTTTCTGATGCACGTTACACCAAGGAAGATTGGAACCTTCTATCTCCCGAATTGATACGATTAAATATTCGTGCTGTGGATATTAATAACGATATACTTAATGTACTGGATAAACTGAATGTGGAGCTACTCAAGCTTTCTGGTGGTCCAGGCATCAAAGTTAAGGCTCTTCAGGTAATGCCATTCTTATGTGGAATTTCTTCTGAACGCGAAGGTAGACTGTTCGCTCACATCCGTGGATCCTGTCCTTACCAGAAACGATGTGAATTGGTCCTTAGCTGCGGTAACAAGTCTTTTTTCAGGTCAAAAGTGCACATTAACGGGGCTAGATGGTAGTGGTACTCTGGTGCCATTTCTGTGCAGCCTCACCGCCGACCACACGCCTAACCATAGCCAAGCTGGCTACTTGTCTGTGCCCTCTCCCTTCAGGTTGTTTTTCCCCCGGCTGAGGAATGGGAAGGTGCACGAGATGGTGCGAACACACGTACCGTGGGCGGAGCGTGCTAGAAGTGGGCAGTGCTTGCTACGAAAGCTTCAGAAATTCGTAATTTGCTTAAAGAAAAAATCCGGAGAGCGCAGAAAGCATCTCGTCCGTCTATTCATCTCTTAATAGGAAATGGGTAGACGGAGGAGATGGTTGAGGCATACCTGCTGTGAA